AGTAATTAAACGTAAAAAAAGTTAGGCCTGTCATCGACTTTTGTGAGGTGGATTTTCCACGTAATCTAAGTAAAAAATAAAATAAAATTTTCCGTTAATTAACTTGCCACCTCAGACAAAATTTAACGGAAGGACTAAAAAGGGGCCGGATTTTAAAATTTAAGGACCAAAAAGGGGATTTTTTCAGTATAGGGACTAAAAAGGGGCTTTTTCCTATAGTAGAGGGATCAAAAAGGGTATTTAACCTATAAAATAATGATAAAAATGTATAATAAATGCACCATTTAGTAAATTAATAAAAGGTTAATTAAACCCCCAATTTAGTCCTTAAACTATTGTATAAACCCTTGATTTGGTTCTTAAACTAAAAAAATCCATGTTTTGGTCCTTACACTATTGTACAGACCTCGATATAATCCATACTGTTTGTTGATTTAGCCTCAAGTTGGTCTTTTCATACAAAAAATAGTTGACGTATTCGTTATTTAACGACGAAAAATAGTTACTTAACGATGAAAAATAGTTACTTAACGACGAAAAATAGTTACTTAATGACGAAAAATAGTTACTTAATAATTACGTGTCACATTAATAACAAGACATGTCAGTTATTTTTTTGTATAGAAAAACCAAGTTGGAGCAAATAGATAAACAATAGGGACCAAATTAGGGGGCCTTACAATAGTTCAAGGATCAAATTAGGAATTTAACCTAAATAAAATATTTGATGAAATAGTTGGTTTTTAATTAAAACTAGACTTTAAAACTATGCTATGGGCGGTTCATTTGTATTGTATTCTTTTAGTAATTATTAAATATAATAATATTAATTTATAATTAAAATTAATTTTTAATTAATGAATATAAAAGTTATTTCAATAGATTTTTAATTTTCATATCAATTAAATTTTTTTTTGAAATAAATATGATAGAATAGTAAATCAAATCTTATTAATTTTTTTTAAGAAAAATGATTGGTACATCATCTGATTCAATATATCTACTAATATTTACCAATTCAGTCATTAAATTCTACAATTTTATATTTTCACACCGTTAATTCAAAATTAAAAATAATAATTTCTTGATGAATATGTTTTGGGGGTGTGTTAAATAAGAAAGTGTACCAATTATTGTCTTTTCTTTAATCTTTGCATGTATAACTATTTGAAAAATTGTTTTATAGTTCAAATTGTTTCAAATAATAAAACATTGATTCTTGGATGGGGGATGGACTCTCTAATATTAGGGACCCTCCTTCATCAAAGAGTCCTTGTTATATAATTTTAATTGTAAAATAATAGAGTTATAATTATTACTATATATAAAAATATATATCCTTTTTTTACCTCAATTTGTCTCTTCTTTCCTTAATGCTAATATTAGAGGATTTTAAGTTATAATATAAAAGATATAATTCATTAGCATTATTCTCCTAGTGCCTTCCTTTCCATTTACTTATACTTCATTTTTTTATTAATTTTTCATATAACACCATCGGCTAAGTTACCTTCACATATTTTATAATTATATTATCAATCCACCTATATTCGTCTCATACTCTCTTTTTCTATATTAATAAATTTATTTGTTAAATTATTATTATTATTTTCCCCTTATCCACCCATAATCATCTCTCTCTCTCAATCACTCTCTCTCTCTCTCTCTCCCATTATCTAAGTTAGACACATTCTAAATCAAAACCTAAACGTTATAATCACCTATATTTTATTATTATTTGACATATTCATATAAATTATTAAATTTTCACCTAAAATTCATGACCTAAAAGTTAAAAAGTCAAACTAAGTCTACTAAAAGTAAACAGAGAGAATATTATTTTTACCCCAATATATATCACTACTAAAATTTTGACTTTTAGCAACAAATATTAGCAACATGGAATCCTTTCTTGCTGAAAAATTATATCACCGACAAGGTTTTAGTTGCTGAAAACTATGCAGTACACTTTTCCCCTCCAAAAGCTGCTCCACTTTCAGCAACAAAGGGTATGTTGTTGAAAATAAATATTAGCAACATACCCTATGTTGCTGATATTTTTCGATAGCCTTTCACTGCACTTTTCTCCCCAAATAAGGATTCTATTTTCAGCAACAAGAGCTATGTTGCTAAAAATTTTAATCATTTAAAATTTAATCATTTGATAGTGTGGCGGGAGTTTTTTTAATTTTAAAATTTAGCAACATAATGCATGTCGGTGATGAGTGAAAGAATTCAAATTCAAATGAGTTTTAGCAACATGGTATAGGTTGCTAATAGAGAGTAAACTTTCAGCAACAAAAGTTACATTGCTGAAAGTTATTTAAGTACTCCAACCCCTTCTTTATAAATTCTGCAATATTTCTCCCCCCGCATGCCTTCCTTCTCCTCCCGCATGCCTTCCTTCTCCTCGCGTGGCCTGCTGCAATTCCCTTGGCATGCTGCAATTCCCTTGGCCTGCTGCAATTCCTCCAGCCTACTGCAACATCCTCCGGTCGGCTGCGCCTCTCAGCTTCTTTTTTTTTTTTTTTCCTCTATTAATTAGCACATGTCATCCATATGTATATATATTAATAATTGAAAA